TTTTTAAACTTGTGGAATGCTGTGGGAATGTGCTCCTTGGCTCCCAGCAAGGGATCTCAGGAAACATCAACTTGAGCGAGGCAAATGCATTCCCTGATTCCGGTTGGATGGCATGTAGTGGAAAGAGCATCTCCTACTCAGAGTTAAAACTCAATGGTACCCTAGGCAGTTTGGCTCAGTGAATAGAGCGTTGGCCTGTGGACTGAAGGGACTCGGGTTTCATTCTAGTCAAGGGCATGTTGGAGGTTCCCCGATCCTGGCTGGGGTGCAAGCAGGAAGCAACCAATTGATGTGTCTTTCCTACATCGGTGTTTCTCTCTGTCTCTCCCTCTTTCTTCCGCTCTCTCTAAAAATTCTCGGGTGAGGATTAACAACAAAACACCAAAAACCCTCAAATGTGACTGGCCTGCACGGTAGCCTCCTCAGACTTCCAGCTCAGTGTGAGGGTGCAGTTTTAGCTGTTGGGGTTTTTCTTACTCTTTCTTGTTTCTAAATTTCTTTTAAAATGTTTCAATTATGGTTGACATTCAATATTATATTAGCTTCAGGTTTATAGCATAATGGTAAGACATTTATATAACTTATGAAGTGATCCCCCTGATAAGTCTAGTACCTACTTGACACTGTAGTTATTACAATAATATTGATTATATTTCCTGTGCTGTAACTATCCCTATGACTATTTTTTAACTTCCAATTTGTACTTTTTTAAAAAAATATATATTTTATTAATTTTGTACAGAGAGGGAGGGAGACAGAGAGTTAGAAACATCGATGAGAGAGAGTCATCGATCAGCTGCCTCTTGCACACCCCCTACTGGGGATATGCCCACAACCAAGGTACATGCCCTTGACCAGAATCGAACCCGGGACCTTTCAGTCCCCAAGCCGACGCTCTATCCATTGAGCCAAACCGGTTTCGGCCCAATTTGTACTTTTTAATCCCTTCACCTTTTCCCCCAGCCCCTCAACCCCCTTACCACCTTGTTTTTTCTCTATTTTTTAAAAATTGATTTTAGAGAGGAAGAGAGAGAGAGAGAGAGAAAGAAACATTAATCAGCTGCCTCCCAAATATGACCTGACCAAGGATTAAAACTGCAACTGAGCTGAAACCGGTTTGGCTCAATGGATAGAGCGTCAGCTTGGGGACTGAAGGGTCCCGGGTTCGATTCCGGTCAAGGGCATGTACCGTGGTTGCGGGCACATCTTCAGTAGGGGGTGTGCAAGAGGCAGCTGATCGATGACTCTCTTTCGTTGATGTTTCTAACTCGCTATCTCTCTCCCTTCCTCTCTGTACAAAATCAATAAAATATATTTAAAAAAAAACAAAAACAAAAAAACCCTGCAACCGAGGTATGTGCCTTGACCAGGAATCGAATACTACCTTTCAGGGGGTGACACTCCAGCCAATTGAGCATACCATTCTTTGGCTAGGGCACATTCTTTTTTTTTTTTTCTTTTCTTTTTTTTTTTTTTTTAAGATTATATAAAATTAATATAGCTGGAATTTTAAAAATTCTTAGCTATGTCAGAATATTACTATATAAACGTATTTCAAAAGAATTTTATATTTTACACAGTGTGTATATATATATATATATAGAGAGAGAGAGAGAGAGAGAACTTTTTTTTACACATAATATATATATATATATATATATATAGTACTTTTGTAATTATCAAACACCATTTTAAAATAGCTAATGAAATGTCAATAATTGTGAACTGTTAAAAATAAAAACATCATATTTGCAAATGTTTGTTTAGTAATTATTTACTGAATTCTGTTGTAATAATGGCTGTCACTCAATTCATGATAGCAGTCAGGAAGGATCCAAGGCCTAATTGAGGGTTCTGGGAGGAATCCAAACGTCGGAAAGTCTCTTCTATTCATCTTCTGTCTGACGTTAGTGGTCATATTTGCCCCTTGGAGGCCAAGTGATACCTTCTTAGTCAGATGCTTTGAGACAGACCTTTGGGCAGGTTCCAGGGATTGGGCAACTGTATCTAGAATTCAAGGCACATGTTCTTCCTGTCAGCAGGTTTGATGTTACTCTTAAGGCTGGCACAGCCATGCCTAGGCTCACCATGCCTAGGACAAAGCCAGCCTATCCCCTGGGCACTCAGTGAGCAGGATCAGAAGTTCTTTAGCTGGAAACAATTTTTAGGGGCCATTTTACTCATACTTCTGCAACAAGACAATTAGAACCCCGCACTCCTGGTGATTACTGGTAGTGAGTGAGTGAGGGGAATACCTGTAATGTATTTTTTTTTTTTAATTCCTGTTGTAAGAAACTCCACCAACCAGTTTTTTTTGTTTTGTTTTTTTTTTAAATATATTTTATTGATTTTATACAGAGAGGAAGGGAGAGAGATAGAGAGTTAGAAACATCGATGAGAGAGAGTCATCGATCAGCTGCCTCTTGCACACCCCCTACTGGGGATATGCCCGCAACCAAGGTACATGCCCTTGACCGGAATCGAACCCGGGACCCTTCAGTCCCCAAGCCGACGCTCTATCCATTGAGCCAAACCGGTCCTGGCCACCAACCAGTTTTTTAGCAAACTTTTTTTGCTCTAATTCAGATCCCACTTTCTGCCACACATGCCGATTTTCTCTCATCTTTTCCTTTCCCAGAAGATGTGAGAGTCAGCTGCTCCTAGGAAAGGGGCTTCATCCTCTGGTCAAACAAAACAGCTTTGGCTGGAGAAGCTCTCATGTTGAGGAAATACAGACCAAGCCAGGCCCCTGCAGGGGACTTTAAAGACTGAATGACTCTGTCACTTGGCTATTGCCTGAACAGTCTGCTTTGAAAGAGAGACCTGACAGGCTCCAGGTTGTGTGTTTATCCTGAGGCAGGCCCATTCCAAACTCATGTTTCAGAGTTTAGAGGTTGTGTCCAGCCAGCCTGGTGGGTGGTAATCAAACCCAGGTGGAGACCATCTGGATGGGCCTGCCCCTCCCAGTCAGTCCCATGAAAGCTGGCCTGCCCACCACAGAACTGGCCTAGAAAGCACCCTGTGTGCAGGCAGATGGTGTACATGTGCATGTGCGTGCACAACCCTCCTCAAGAAAGTGGTGCTGCTTGGATACATTATTTTTTTCTCTCTGCATCAAGGGATCCCCCTATTGCACATGCCAAGGAACGTGTTTTTTTAAGCCTGTTTCTCAAGTTTTTGTGGTTAGAAATCATGTATTTTTCTTGGCCCAGCATGAAAGGCCTGGAGTAATCGTCTAATACATTTTATAAAGCTGCCTCTAATTGGTGGCTGCTTGAAATCTTCCCTTTGACCTAGTAACCCAGCTCCTTTTGTAGAGTTTTAGCTCCCAGTCAGTCTTGCATTACCCCAGTTCCTCACACTCCTGTCGTATCTGCAGCCCTTGGGAAGCAGGTCTTCTAGCCTCAATTTGCTTAGCTGTTTCCTCAGCCTTCCTGCGTGGCATTGCCCCCAAACAGGGCAGTTCAGCAAGGAAAGAAATAGTTTACACTGCATCCTGCCACTCATCATCTTGCGTGGCCTCCAAAACTCTAGGCGTGTACCCTCAAAATGGATTTTATTTCCCACCTGTTAAATGCTCATAGCAAATGCAAGCCATGGACACCTCCTTTGCATAGAATTGGGTATGGCCATGATGACTTTAAGGATGGATTTCTTTTCAGTCCTTGAGAGAACTTAGCTGTGAGAGGTAATCTCCTCACCACAGCATGTGCAGGAAGCCTGAGTTCATCCAGGCACACAGCCGGGTAGGGCTGGTGTCAGAGCTCCTGAGATTTTGAATATCTTTCTCTCTAGTTTCTGGGCCTGGTCTTTTGGGATTGGTGTTGGTGATGATGATGATGATGTAAAGATGCCACATGAAATTCCAGGGTTCAGCATTGGCTGTCACTATCCCTTCAGAATTCTCCCCTCCGTTTCAAGCCTGTTCCAGTAGCTTGGCTGGCAAGGAGGTGTGGGCTGTCATCTTAGTTTATGGTTTGTATTTGTATGCTGAGGAACTAACATGTGTATAATCATTGTAGCTCATGTTTGTACAAGATCTAATTACTGAAAATTATATCATGAACACATTTTAGCTTTTAATACTTCCCATGCTGGCTGGCAGACCTCCTGAGCTCTTAGGAACTCTCCCTGATGCTCCCCTCACCTAGGGAGGTGTGTGTCGTCGTCCGTCGTCCCCCCCCCCCCCCAGGCCAACCAGGCCTTGCTCTCTAATCCATATAATTTCCCTCTCTCCTCTCGCAGAAGTCCATTCCAGGGACTTCGCTGGAGACTTATGGCTCCTGAACACTTCCTAGCAGACAGGAGGCAGGTGCTCCTTGCCTTGTCATCACTGTGATGACTGTGGCTGCAGAGGCAGTAACTGGTCATTCTGGGCCGCCTAGATGGGAAGAGAGGGCAAACCTTGCTTCCTGAAGGTTCCAGTGATTGAAGGCTGCCAGATTTAGGAATTCTATGTGCTGATTAATGAATGCACATAGAATGTGCAGGCCTCCCAGTATCTGAAATCTGTCCTGGGACCTATCTGAAAATGCACTCTTGTGGGCCAAGGTGGAGGTGGGAGCAGAGAAAGGGTCTCATCCTCACAAGCATACAGCAGGACTTGAACCTTAGCAAACTTAGTAGATGCTTATTAACAACTTGAAGGAATATGGAGTGTGAATAGGGAAGATTAGGCCCTCAATCACACAGAAAGGAATGTTCCAGAGCCACAAAATGTGGAACTCATAATTTAGGGTGCCAGGAGGGGAATTTGATTGGCTGGGCTAAGGTCATACACAAGTGTTGTAGCTGGCTGGAGGTGAAGCGAGAGTTCTGGTTCCTTATTGAGGTCCTTTTTGACCTCGAGGCTCACACAATGGAATATTCCTCTGACTAAGGGGTTTAGATGCTGAGGCCACCAAGAATAAGGGAGAACTTCAATTAGGCTTTCCAAACAGTATTATTGTTTTTTTCCTAAGGTAGTTGAACTAAAAACATTTGTTTTTTATTTCTTTTAGATTTACAGGAACAGATGGGCCTAGTGGTTTTGGCTTTGAGTTGACATTTCGCCTGAAGAGAGAAACAGGGGAGTCTGCTCCCCCAACATGGCCAGCAGAGCTAATGCAGGGCTTGGCCAGATACGTGTTCCAATCAGGTAAGAGCCCCAGGAGATGGTTGGTTTTACTGTCATGGATTTGGTTGTCTTTGGAACTCACAGGTATGCTTTGATATCTGCAGAGTGACCTTTCCTGGGAGTACTACACCCCATTTGTACCATGAGGGTGATTTGTTTTGCCTGATGTTTTGGGTGGAAAGCTACCTGGGACATGGAGGAGAAGGATATGCCACTATGACCTCTGGCAGCAAGTGAGAATCCTTGCTGCTGTTCTGACACCCTGAGTCCTGTTACCGTCTGCCAGCCATGCTTCTGATTTCCATTGAGCCAAAGGCCAACTTGGCATGGAATGGATTAGCTCTTCTCTGTCTGCCCCATTTTCCATAATTAGCCTGGTCCTTGCTCCCTGCTGCCAGTGGCCTAAACCATCTCAGTCTCTGGGGCCTCAAGGACACATGTTAATCTTGACTAAGGATTGGGTGAATAGGAAGAGAGAGAAGGGGGAAGAGGGAGGGAGAGAGGGAGGGAAAGAGGGAAGGAAGAGAGAGAGAAAGAGAGAGAGAATGGGCGCTTCCGTACCTCTGCCTTCTGCTGCTCCTCTGAGTCTCAGTGTGCTTTTCTCTTTCCTTCTAGTTGTAGAATTCCACTCAGCCAGCCTTCCTGTGGTTCTGGACGATGTCTTTTAGTTGTAGTTTTGAAATTGTTGTGCAAGGCAGCAGTTCAGGTGTTTACCCATGCTGCCATCTTGGTTTCTCTCCAAAGAATTTCTTTATAATGAAAAGATTTGGGTGGCTATCACTTTAAGGAAATGATCAAATGTAGCAACACCAATAATGAAACAAATTATGTTATGTTAGGTACCTCCTTGTGCATTGCAGTATGAAGTATAAAATATCAACTATGTAGCACTTTTCCAAAAAAATGTTTCATATGAATTGAATTCTGAGCAAATGGACAAATCCAGATTGTGGGACATTTTATTAATCAATCAATTAATTAATTAAATATATTTTATTGATTTTACACAGAGAGGAATTAAGAGAGTTAGAGAGTTAGAAATGTCGATGAGAGAGAGTCATTGACCAGCTGCCTCTTGCACCCCCCCCCCGGGGATGCGCCCGCAACCAAGGTACGTGCCCTTGACTGGAATCAAACCCGGGACCTTTCAATCCGCAGGCCAACGCTCTATCCACTGAGCCAAACTGGTTTCGGCTAGATTGTGGGACATTCTATAAGACAACTGCCTAGACTCTTCAAAAAATGTCAGTCCTAGCCTATCTAATAAAGATGGAATATGCAAATTGACCATCACTCCATGAAAAATCTGGCAGTGCCCACAGCCAATAAGGAGGGAATATGCAAATTGATACAACAAATATGGCAGCAGCCATTCCACTCCACCCTGACTGCTCCAGGCACGGAGCAGCCTGGGCAGGGTGAGAAGTCTGCTGTGAGGGGGGTGGCAGGAGGTGGAAGGAGCTACAGGAGGGTGGCAGGGCCGGAGTGAAGGCAGAAGTCGAAGGCCAGAGCAAAGGCCTGCATCCTGGGTGCCAGAGGGAAGCCGATGCTGGCAGCCAAAGAATCTTCATGCATCAGGCCTCTAGTGAAAGATATAAAAAGACAAGGGGTGGGGACTATCCTAAATTGAAGGAAACATGACAGTTTAAATGCACTTATGGCCGAGACCGGTTTGGCTCAATGGATAGAGCGTCGGCTTGGGGACTGAAGGGACCCGGGTTCGATTCCGGTCAAGGGCATGTACCTTGGTTGCGGGCACATCCCCAGTAGGGGGTGTGCAAGAGGCAGCTGATCGATGACTCTCTCTCATCGATGTTTCTAGCTCTCTATCTCCTCCCTTCCTCTCTGTACAAAATCAATAAAATATATTAAAAAAAAAAATAAATGCACTTATGATCCTTGATTGGGTCCTAAATTGAAAAAATAAGTTCATTTGTAGGGCACTTGGAAAAATAGAAATACATACTGTGTATTAGATAATTGTATTGTGCAACTGTGAAGTTCCTTGGGTATGATACATACAGTATTATGGTTAATGTCCTTGTTCTTAGGAGATAATAGCTGAAGTATTTATGAATGCAATGATATGATATCTGCAACTTAATTAAAAAAAAAAACTTTTGTAGGCTCCTCTGAGTTCTTTTTTTTAAAATTTATTTTCAGGGAGAGAGAGAAAACATTGATTTGTTGTTCCACTTATTTATGCATTCATATGGGAGTGAGGCACTGTGTTATACCAGATTTATAGAGAGGTGACGTAGCATGTTCAAGATCAGAGCTCTAGTAGGTGCAAAGGCAGAATTTGAGTCTAGGCAGCGTAACACTAATGCCGTTCTTATAACCATGATGCCATGTTACCTGTAGCTCAGCTGATGTCTGGGCTGCTGGATGTCTCGGGCTAGAAGGTGAGATTTGCCAGTCATCCATATGGGTGATTTGCATGATCTCTGAGCTCCATGATGCCTTGCTTGAATATTCAGAATCATTTGGAAAATCGAGGAGGGCAAACTCATAATAAGTAGTGTCCATTTCCACACCTCTCCCTGTACTGTTTGCCATCTTGCAAATGACTGCCAGATCAAGGGATCAGCATAGTATGATGGTTAAGAGCGTGGCCCCTGTATCCATACTATGCCTGCATTCGATCTCAGGTCTTCCAGTTACTGCCTCCTGACTTTGGGCAGTGTAACCCATTTACTCATCTATAATGCAGGGATAATAATAGTAGCTACACAGGAAGTTATTAAAAGAATGAAATGAGTTTAATACCTGTAAAAAATTTAGGACAGTTATGTAGTAAGAAGTATATAATATTACCTGCAATTATTATTACTCAGTTTTTAAAACTTGATATGGATCAATAAGGTGAATACTTTGGTCTTTTTTTGTGTGTGACAGTAAATACTCCATTTAACAGTAAAACCCTGTTTGGAAGGAAATGCCTTGCTTGTCTTGGATCAATTACCTGCCTCAACTGATAAGATGACATTTGGTACTATCACTTTTATCCCACACAGAAAATCAGTAATAGTGCCCTGGCCGGAGTAGCTCAGGCGGTTGGAGCATTTGGCTCATACACTAAAGGGTTGCAGGTTCGATTCCCAGTCAAGGGCACATACCTGGATTGTAGGTTCACTCCCTGGTCCTGGTCAGGGTGCTTGTGGGAAGCCATCAGTTAGTGTATCTCTTTCACATCGATGTTTCTCTCTCTCTTCTTCCTCTCCTTCCATTCTCTCTAGAAATCAAGGGGGGAAATATCCTCAGATGAGGATTATCAACAACAAAAAAGAAATAAAGAAAAGAAAAAAGAAAGTCGTTATTAGTGATACAAATAAAATTAACTGGTTTTGTTCATCACCTTATACAACAACAAAAATTCAGTTCAACTGTGGCTCCTTGATTATGTAGTTGACAGTACCTGTACAGCCTTCTACAAATCAGATCCTATTCTAAATGCAATGGAGCCCAGGCAGTTTCGTGGGACCTGTGGTACATCCTTTCATAAAGTAAAGAATCTTTTTATAGTGAGAATGTCTGCCCCTTATTGTAACTGTTTTGTAGGATTGGGCTTAGGTGTTTCAGTTTCCTCAGAGCAGGGTGCCCTGATGCTCGGAGAACCTCCCTTGAGATGTGTAGGCATTGTTCTGCCCCCTGATTGGTTACACTGCAAAGTTTACACAGATGTTATTATACAGAACATGTATTTTATGTTTGATGTGTACATAGATATACCTACATATGTAACTAGCAGCGGAATTCTGTTTGTTGGTCTTGCTGTCACTTGTGCTGTCCATCTTCAACTCAGTGACTTTATGTGGTGCACCCATCCCATTTGCATGTGAGAACATGCAGAGCAGTGTTATCAAGTAAGTGGAATGCTTAGACCTGCTTTTCCAGATCTAAAAGGCATCCACAGCCTTACCATCCAGGCTCGGAAATAGCATCAGGGAAGTGGTAGCAAGGGAAAAAGGACGAGGAGACTCTGGGGTGGGCTGGTGATGGCTGCCCCTAGCTGTGGGGCTGCGTGAGGCCGCCTCTGAAGGCTGCTATGAGGAATGACTCCAAAGGGTCCTGTACAGTAGCCTGACCTGCCGGAAGATGGATACCTTTTGGTTGGTTTGCTCAGAGGTGGGAAGTAGAGAGGCCTGGGAAAGAACAGCCAGAGAAAGTAAAGGATTCAAAGTGGGTGTGGGACTGGTTGGTGTTTATTTTAGTTGTGATGCTTCTAGTTATAAGAAAATGACAGAAACCTAACTCCAATTATCTTAATAACAGACATTATTGGTGTAGGTAACGGACAGTCAGGGTTTCAGGCATGGCTTGATCTCTGTATTCAAAGTGTCCCCAGGGCTCTGACTCTTGTGTTGGTCACGTATACAGACTGACTCTCCCCATGTGCCAGGAAGGATGAACGCCCCCCCATCAGAGTTTCTTTCTCTCAGTTTGTAGTCCCAGCAGGCAGAAGGCCTTTCCTCCAACATTCCTACATTAATCCTGGGGAAGGACTCAGATTAGTTCCATCTGGGTCATGTGACCACCCTAGTTGGTGGTCGTGGTCCAGAGGAGCACCAGTGTTTATACTTAAAGTCCCGTTCCTCCCCCCCATTCTCCCCCCCACCCCCCCATTTCTAACCACGTGGAGTAGAAGATCTTTAAAGCAAAAGGTAACTGCTGGCAGAAAAAGAATAGGTCTAGTTCTGGGTAGGCAAAATCAGTTGCTCTCACAGGGCCAAAGGGGAATCTAATACCCTTGTAATCCAGCTGTGCAGTTATGCTTGGAAGTTGAATCATTAGAGGATTGATGGATAGCAGGCATCTTTTATTCTGTGTTGTTGTATATGCTGGGATGGGTTTGACTCCCAAGTAACAGAACACCTGACTAAAATGGCTTAACAACAAGGGCACTTATCTTACATAGCAAGTCATCTGGAGGTGGAGCAGTTCCAGGGTCAGTTGTCATCTCTTCAACAGTGTACTATGGCCCTGAGTTCCTTGTAACTTCCTGCTCTGCCTTCCTCAGC